AAATATCGGGTCGAACACAAGGAAACGTTATTTATATGATTCAAATTTGGATAGAGTTTTAGTAAAAGACTTAGCAAAAGAGTAGAGATTTTTAGTTTTCAAGAGATAATAAAAGCAACCAAGGGTTCGGGATTACTCCTAAAAGACTCATAGCGATGAATATATGTTCTTTCACCAATTCTTATGAGTGGAATGTCCCTAAAGTATTCTAACTCCTGTTACGACAACGAGATTCTGATAAATTCTACGTGTGAATCTCGTCACGGTTCACATTCATCTAAAATTAACCACATTGAAGATTAGGACATTATAAAAACCACCATATTCAATTGAGGTATATTTCTATCCACAATTAGAATATGTCTAACCTTTAAGTGCACAGTTTATAACTAAATGTTAATTGCTCAAATAAACCCAATGATATAATCATATGTTGTACACCGTAGTCATACACATTAAAAATATAAAGGAAAGATCATAATAATTTGGTTGAGAACATACATCAAACACCTAGAGTGCGTAAAGTTTCATCCCTAACCTTGGCTATGTAAAATTAGCTAGAACAATTCATAATGAAATTACAAGTATTGAAATGATAAAATACAATGAAATACATAAGATATTGATACCACAACTCCAAAGCTATGGTGGACAATGCTTTCCCCAATTGAAGAACGTCTCCCAAGACCACGTGGTTGCTCTTGAGATGCCAAAGTAGAAGTGTAGTGTGTAGAATATGGAATTCTGTGTTGAGAGGGCTTTAATCCACTTAAATATGGAGTCTTCAACAACCATTTTTGGACAAGAAAGCAAGATCCTTAATGGGATTTGGTGTTTTCCCCAATTATTGTGATGACCGTTGCTGTTATAACCTCGCACAGATGAAAGTCGGGCGCCATATGTGAAAGCTGGGTGGCTTTCGCATTTTAAATAAACGTCGGGCGGGCTCTGCCAAAAGCCGGGCGGCTTTTGGCTCGATTTATTGAAATAATTCTATGGTGCCCAATGTCGGGCGCCTTTCACGAAAGTCGGGCGGCTTTCGTCTTGTTTTTCTCCAGACGCTGTCCTTCAGTTTTGGATGGCAACTAGTTGGCTGGCTGGTGAAACCAGCCGGCATTGGTGAAAGTCGGGCGCCATTCACCTTTTTTGTGTGTTTCTTCTTCTTTTCTTTTATTCTTCGGTATGCGTTAGGTTGACCTTCTATTGTCGGAATTCTTCGTGTGTATTCTCATCCTAATATTTGGTTTAATCCTTGATTAAAGTTTTTCTTGCAAAACGAGGCATATGTGTGAGAGTTTTATTCTTTTAACCATAAAAGCGTTTATAAGTGATTGTATAAAATACGTTAATAAAACACTTATCACGGCCCATTACCCCTTGAAAAGGATGATGGCGTCGCCGATACCACACTGGATGATGAGGGCGTCCCTGTGAGAGGGAGGGCCTGAGGGTCGATCCCTGTCAATGAAGGTGATTGCTTCCGTCTGTTGCTTACTTGCTTCTTCGGCTATAGGGGACGTGGAATACTTCACCAATGTTAGGGAGTAAGCCTTCTTCTTCCTCTGAGTAGCGGAGTCCCCCGCTGTGTTGCCCCCAACGATGAGGTGAATATTGTGCTTCTTCAGCTGAGGCTCCTCATATTCTTCCTCATCGTTGAGTTTACCAATCTCCCGCTTCTTCGACGAGGTTTCCCATCCCCGATTGCCGGTTTTTGCCTAGGTATTTTTCCGTGGGGCACCTTTAACAATTCGGGAGAGTTCACCTTGTTGAATAAGGCGTTCAACTGCCATTTTAAGGATGACACATTCGTCTATGTTGTGGGTGGTGTTCCTGTGGTAGCGGCAGTATGTTTCACCCTGGTGGATGGCGTAGATCTCCTTCGCCAGCCGCATGTCCTTGGCTATGAGGTCGTGCTCCTCCATGTAGTCTAGGATGATGCTCACCAGGTGAGTGAGGGGAGTCTGTGTTATATCCACGTGGGGCCTCCATTGGCGTCTCTCTAGATGTTGTCCCTCGAACCCGGGGCTTACTTGCGTTCGGGGGTTTTATTCCCTGGTCTGTGGTGCGTTGGGAGCCGGTGCGTTCTTCTTCTTCTTGGGTGGTTGCCCACCTTCCTTCATGTGGGAATGCAACTCGTCGGCGTGAGCGTACAAGCCTCCTTGCTGAAGTGCCTTCGTGTATGACCTTGGGGGTTTAGTGATGAGGCCTCTTGCATAGGGGCTGTTACAGAGGATGCCTTGAAGGAGGACGAGGAGAGTACGGTCATCGACACCTTCTACCTCATCGGTCTCCTTCGTCCATCCCTCCTGGAAGCTGCGGAGCGGTTCATCATGTTGTTGTTTGACAGTGAGAAGGTTGGAGAAGTGCTTCGTCGTGCGCTTCCTTCCAGCAAAGTGGGTGAGGAAGCTTTGTGCAAGGTCCTGCCATGAGTCCACGTTGCCTTCCAGTAGCGCACTGAACCGCACGTACGTCGGTCCCTCGAGAGTGGAGAGGAACCAACAACAGAGGTATTCGTATGACGCATTTACCATCAACATGTTGTTCTGATAACGGCTGAAGTGTTCTTGGGGGTCCGGCCGGCCTTCATAGGGCTTGATGGCGTTCCCTCAGTATTTCTCGAGGATTGGGGCAGAGAGCACCCTCGTTGTGAAGGGAGTCATTGTCCTGATCTCTATGATGGGGTCGTTGCGTCCTTTGGCCATCTCCCTTTCCAATTCAGGTACTGGCCTTATGCAGGAGGGCGTTGTAGCTAGGATCTCGGGAAGCGTTGGTCGTGGCCCCACCAGCCAGCTGCCTTGCTTCCATTTGGGCCAGGCGCCTCTCCAGCTGGGCGATGACTTCGTCGCAGGGATCCCTTGTGACCATAACAACTCCCTGCTGATTCTGGAAGCGGTTCACATGGGCTTGGTTTATTTGGTGGCACGCATCCTCCTCGTGAAGTTTGCCCTTTACTTTCTCAATGCGGGGCTGATCCGCTGCCCGGGACACTGACCCCAAGCTTTCTCTTGGTGAGCCAGGCCGACGGTCGCCCAGCCTTCCTGCCATTCTGTCCGACATGGGCAGATGGTACGTGGAGGACCTATTGAAGGCTGAGGTCTTACCACATGCAGGGGTCAGTACAGCTCGTGGAGGAGAAGCGGTGTCGGATATTGTGTCCTGAGCGACGACGCCTTCGTCATTGCCGATGAAGGTGACAATTGGAGGAGGTGGCGGTGTCGTGTTCTCCCTCGCCGTGGCATGAGAGCGCTTAGGACGGTGGGGTTTTGGGCCAAGCTGGCAATGATGGCCGATGGTGCGGCCTGGAGTTGGGGGTCAACAGGGGAGTAGTCTATTGTCGCGAAGCATGGTCGCCCTTCTCCGAGCGTTTCTTCTCAAGGCCGATGTGGGCGTCTTGGGCGTTGACGTTGAGCTTGTTGTGAAGGTCCGCAATGGGGTTGATGGTCTTTTAGAAGGACTCTTCCTCCACTATCTTGTTGGTCGTAGCGTCGACTGACCTCTCTTGGTTCTCCTGAGGGTCGAGGAGAGTTTTGCCGATGAGGTTGCGGTTTGACCTTGTCTTTCCCATTTCAGTTAGTAGTGTCTGGTAGCGATGAAGGATACTAATTTGATTGTTCTGACTCTCAACGATAGCACCAAATGATAGAATATTAATCTAGAGAGCAGTAAGAGCTAGAGAGAGAAACTGAGCAATTAAAATTTCTCAACCCCCTACAACTACCCCCAAGGGGAGTATTTATAGGGAAAATATGGGTTTGAGATCCTAGGTCTTGGGCCTGGGAGGCCCGGTACAATATAAGTCCTCTAATGGGCTGAGTACATGATTTATTTGACTAAGTATAAGATCTAGTCCTGCTTGAGTCTGGTCGGCCGATGGAGGACCATGCCGATGGAGGGCCTGGCCGACGGAGGACCAAACTCTTTCCTGGGCTTCTGAACCATATTCTGGGTTGAGAGGTATTTGGCCAACGGGGGGCCATATGGCCGATGGAGGACCACGTGGGTGCCAACTGTCTTTGTATTTAGTCTTCTGAGTATGTGGGTCATGGGGTCCGGGCCCATATACTCTATCAAGTATGAAATAGAAGATAAAACTAGAAAAGGTAAGAGTAATTAAGTATTTTTTAAAGAGAAAACTTACTAAAAGGTAAAAGTGTAGCAAACTTTTAAATACATCCCAAAGAGAAAATTGTAATAAACTTTAAAATACATAGTAAGTATTTGTTGATTGAAGGAGCAATTAAGCAATATATGTAGAGTATGATAATACACACAAATGAATTATATTAAACAATTAATTTTTGTCAGGATTAGTAAAAAATCCCAATGTTTTTACATTATTATGTAATCCTTAGATGAATAACGGAATGATATATTAATATTAATATATATTATATGGTTAGAGAACTGAATGTTTAATATTATTATAAAATGTAGTGATTATAAACAAAGTGTTTAAAATTGTTATAAATTTATGATGATATTGATTGTATTGATATGAAGGGTTAAATATTTTTTAATGATATATTTTTGTTAATAATCATATTGATGGCTCTTAATAGCAAATTACGGATTACGAATACACCCGCACGGGTAGCTCAGTTGGTTGAGTGGTGGGAAATTTGGATCAAAGGACCAAGGTTCGAATCCCGTAATGACCGTGTGGAGGTTACAGCCTCTGAAATGGGTTAGATCACTGGTGTGCACGGGTTTATGGGCCTACAACCACTTCGTTGACTGAGTGTTCGTGATTTACATCCTCCCACGTGCTCTGTGAGGTCGGGATGTGGGGGCTCCGGGAGTGGAAGATTCCACCTTTTTTGATCAAGGGATTGTGAATAGAAGTATAGAACTACCTATAATAATTCATTTCTAAATTTTATTGATCTAATTTGAATGTTTTTCTCTGATTTTGTAGTACATCTTCTGATTTAGATTGATTTGAATAAAATTAAAATAAACAATAAATAATTGAAGTGAAATAAGTAATGTAATACTCCGTACTGCCTATATAACAATATTTGATTTCAATAAAATGAAAATACAACGAACAATATCAATAAACAATGTTTGACCCTATTTATGTAGCTTTAACTTCTACAAGTATAATTTGGCTTTTTATTCACTCATTGAATATTCTACGAGTATAATACGAGTATGACATTTTTCAATTTATTGCAAATGATTGCTACGGATTACATTCTACAAGTATAAATAGTGTCAATTTATTGCAAATGATTACAAGTACAATTGCAACTGTATGTGGTCCTCACTGAGCCAAAGGATATCCATCGTATTAGCCTCAATGTAAATAGTCTACGTCCCACGATTGCTTGGCTGCAAACCAATATGAATAAAATACAAATTATTTGATAGAAACTAATATAATTAAAAAAGAATAGTACGTAGTATTATGCAAAAGGAAAATCGCATTTTTAATCCATCAAATGGTCAACATATTGAAATGTCAGACATATGTTCTCGAATTTGTAAATGTCACCTCTCAATTGTTTGAATTGCTGTAAATGTGATCCTTGGGAGGTGAAATGTACAATGTGGGTGATGAGTACATTTTACCTCTCAAAGGACAACATTTATAGCAATGTCGACAATTGAAGGGGATATTTACAATCTCCGAAATGCGGGTCTGATATTTCAATATAGAGACTATTTCAGAGATTAAAAGTGTGATTTTCCCTTATGCAAAAGTAACCAAAACGAACAAGAATTACTTATAACAAGTGCTTTAAACAAAAAAGATATTTGCCTAAAAAAATACTCCGTATTAAATCCCTATGTATCTAAAGAGAATAGGGAAAATTGAAACTAATAATCCAACCTTTTAGCGGTATTCTTACAATAGTCTCACATTTTGATTATTCAAGAATAATCCAACCTTTGCACCTCATCTTCATTCAATGGTCCCTGATCAGTTGATGATCTGCTTTTTCAAGTTATTTTCTTATCTTTGCAATATATTATACCATAAATCTCACCTTATGCTCACATAATGTTTTGCAAAGATAAGAAAATAACTTGAAATAGCAGGTCATCAACCGGTCAGGGACCATTGAATGAAGATGGGGTGCAAAGGTTGGATTATTCCTGAATAATCAAAAGGTGAGACTATTGTTAGAAGACCACTAAAAGGTTAGATTATTAGTTTCCATTTTCCCAAGAGAATATTTTGTGTAGGTTTTTCTACCATTTATATTGGATTATAGCCGGCTTTGGTATCAACGAGTACTCGAACTCTTGAAAGTCAAATAGTGTGACAAAATCAGGGAAAAGGGCAACATGCGACGCAGCTCTTGCAAAATACTACCTCCGTTCCTATTTTATCTTCCAACCCACTTTGGCACACAATTTAAGAAAAATGGGTATTGTGTGGTGGAGAGTTGTGCAGAGGAGAGAGAAATGTGTAAGAAATGTTGTGAACCACAAATTCTTTACCAGAAAAAGAAAGTGGAAATTTAATTGGAACAGATGAAAAAGGAAAGTTGGAAGTTTATTTAGGAACGGAGGGAGTACTTCTTAATAGTTTGTATAATATACTCCGTAATAGTTAAAAAAAGAGTATAAGTTGGTTTTATTGTAATGGAAAAGTATTTGGTAAAAGAAGTTTCATTTCACACTTCAATAGTTTATACTCAGTATAATAAGTTGCTGAATCAGAAATGTTAGATGGAAGCAGGATCGGTCATGTTTTGGGCCTATGAGATATACTATACTATTCTAGCCTTATTTCCAAGACGAACATGAAATTATACTTACTTAAAGTTAAAATTACAAAGTATAATAAAACTATGAGAAGTTATTCTAAACAAGACTAAAAACGTGTGTATATTCCAAATTAGGATTATCGTGTTTTCATTACCTAAATAGAAGTAATTACTGTCATATTTTGACAGTATCATACTTTACGCACGGTAGTATTTTCCGAACATGATAGTAATTACTCCTATTTAAAAAATAAACACATGACAGCCTTTTTTGGAATTCTCAAAAAAACAATTACTCCTATTTCAGGAATTCTCCTTACAACTATCTAATAAAGGTTATAAAATAAAGATGAAATTCACCTTCAAATTATTTGAAATACATATTTGGACAAAAATAACAACACAAGTATCACAAAAAAAACATTATGAAGTAAACTCATCAATAATTGTTTTATAATCAATCTTTTCCAAGATCACATGTGCAATGATTGCTAGTCCATTAAGTTTTTTGATGAATAATAGATAATTAGGATGATGTTTGAGAATTAGAAGGCACTGGCAGCACAAAGAGAATAATAAAAATTGGTAATTTTGTAATAAAAAAGAATAAAAAGTCTTAAAAGATAAAAAAATGTGAAGCGACTGACAACCAACTCTATTTAAAAATCAAAACTAAATTTACATTCTTTTTTAAAACTTGTCCACTGTGGCAGCGGTGCGTTTCCAATTATATTTTTTGCCCATTTGCAAAACATGACTTTTTTTGTCCACTGTGGCAGCGGTACTTATACCCACTCTTATCGAGTAGGCGGAGTTGGTCCATTTGCAAAACATGACTTTTTTTGTGACAGGCTATAAGTATGCTACACGTGGTAGCATGTGTTTGGCCAAATAATTAAAGATTCAATGATATGTAAAAAGTCTATGCAAAAGTCAAAACATGTATCAAAACAAAATCCATGTTAGGTCAAATTGATCATCAAGCAAAGTTTGCTTTACTACGATTTACAATAATAATAATTGATCGATAACAATAATAATAACAACGATAATAGTAATAATAATAATAACAACAACAATAATCATTATTACTATTATAAAAATAATAAAAATTATACTCCCTCCGTCCCCCTAATATTGGTACGGAAGGGAGTGGTGTGGTTTTTAAGAAAAATAGAATTATGTGATTGGTAATGATTTGATAAAGTGGAAATAAAGTAAGAATGAATTAGAGTCACGCAAATGTATACAAATATAGTATGTGACAATAATAAAGGGACATCCAAAAATGAAAAAATGAGAAAATTGTAGGGGGACGGAGGGAGTAATTAAAATAATAATAGTAATAATAACAACAACCTTGCTTGGTGTACACCTTTTGTGTACACCTTTTGTGGACAGACAACTCGTCTGCAGGGGACAGCCCTACACCACGCATTTTTCTAATAACAATAAGCATAACAACGGCAATAGTAATTGCTTTCAGTTTTGAAATTAAACTATTGACAAGTGATGAGCACAAATAGTTCAACTATAGTTGAGTGAGACTGTGAGAGAACTATAATACTCCCTCCGTCTCATAATACTTAACCAATGTTGACTTGCACGTAAATTAATAAAGTAAAAATTGTGTGGTTGATATTGGTGCAGAGGAGAGAGAAATAACTTTAGCCACATATTTGTTACTTTAAATGGAAATGACAAAATATTTTGGAACGGCCAAAAAAAGAAAGTTGACCAAGTATTATGGGACTAACTCATTCACAAAAATTTGAGGTGAGTCACCCCAACTTTTGGGGTTGAACCATGGATAAACTATCTCGAATAGGAGAAAGGGAAATTCCTTTTGTACATGCCAAGTTTTACACGCCGGGTTACACTACTGTCAAATTGTCTGTATACAAATAATTTGATCGACTACACGGACATATTGAGCGGTGATTTACGAAGAAAACCGATTTTCATACAGACAAAAATAAAAAAATGTTTGTATCACACACACTTTATGAAAAATTCAGGTTTAAAATGTCTGTGATACAGACAACTCTTAATATTTTGTGTGTATGGAAATCGATTTTATTTATAAAACGCCGATTAAATTGTCTGTCTAGCCGATCAAATTGTCTGTATAAAGACAATTTGACCAGCGTGTACACGAAGCCGGACTCTAGGAGAAAACCAAGTATGCGTACCTTGTTTAGAAATCACCCACTTGTCGTCACCCACGGCGGCCCAAAAGAAGTAGCCGCAGAGCTTGAGCTGTTTTGCATATTTCACCTTCACGGAAATTGACGTCGGGTTGTCGTACCCGATCCATGACGTTCCGGCGGCGGAGTACGCCGATACCGTTACGGCGTCGTAAACCACCGTCGCGTTGTTCTCAGTATTAAATCGCTGGATCTCGTTAAATGTCAGAGTTCCGCTCCCCGGGCCGACGTCCACAGCCGGAGCCCCGATGCCGTACGAGCTAGGGTCCTTCAACTTCCATGTCCTTCCGTACAGGGGAAGTCCCATTACGAGCTTACTTCTCAATAGCCCCGCCCTGATCCACTGCCCTAGACCATAGCTGGTGCTGATGTTGCTTTTCGGGTCGAACAGGGCGGCGTGTGCTCCGGTAGCCGTCGTATCCCACGATCCGTGGTAATCGTAGCACATTGCGTTGATCCAGTCCAGATTCGCGTTAATCGCAGCGACAGGGTATGCTCTGTACGACGCCGTATTAGCCAGGAAGAAATCCGCCGAGAAATACGTCGCCGCCGTGAGTAATAGTTCCGATTTTGCCGGAATCGCCTCCTTTCGGACTGCGGACCGCCAATCGGCCAATAACAGCCCTAAATCGTCCATTTCCTTAGGGCTTTGAGGCATTTCCCAGTCCAAATCAATCCCATCGAATCCGAAGGTTCGAGCCACGCTTATGCTGGAGTCGATGAAGATCTTCCTGGTGGAAGCACTTGAAGCCATGCGCGCGAAAATGTTCGCGTCCGCGCCGCCGCCGCCGACGGAGAACAGAGTCTTCGCCGGCGGGTTCTTTGACCTGAGGGCGGAGGTGAAACGGCGGAGCTGATCGGCCGTTGAATTGTCGACGTCGAATTGAAACGTGACACTGTTGGGAACAAGGAATGCATAAAAGACGTGCGTGAATAAGGTCGTGTCTATGGCGGATGGCGGGAAAGTTGTTTCAGCCCAGGAAGGCCAATAAACCCCTTTCACTGGGGAACAAGAAGAAGAAGGATGAGGTTGTAATTTCCTGGCATAACTATTACTGGAACCAAATGAAATCATTATCATATAAATTGCTGCCAAAATGTTTTGGAATTTTGGGCCAGACATAACTCTAAAAATCCCAATTTGTGTATTTTGGAGAATTTTGGATTGAAGGGTGATGTTTGGGACTGCTGGGTTATCCACACATATATATACAGTTTTGCTAGGTGTACACAAAATGTGTACACTTGTCTGTCCCCGCAGATAAGTTGTCTGTCCACAGTTGTCTGCGGGAGACAGACAAATGTACACTTTTTTTGTACGCATTTTGTGTACACCTAGCAAAAGTGTATATTGGGTTGAAAATGTTGAAAATGTTATCAGCTTCTAAGAAAGGTCAACGTTGACCATTTATCACGTTTATGAACACATTTTCAGAAAATGTCAACCCTGTCCATTTATCACGTTTGTGAACAACTGAACACATTATCATGCTTTATATTGGGTTGTTTTCATTTATTTACTTGCTCCAAAATCTGGATGTTTATATCTGCGTACCTAAAGGAGAACAAGTCTCATAATGGGTTGGTCAAACCTACAATGGTAATCTCTTACTAGCTTTAGTTAGTGGTAGACACATTGCATGGCCACCCTCAAATGTGACTTTATCAACACAAATACTACACGGTTGGATAATACTCCCTCCGTCCCAATTTACTTAGCCAAATTTGATTTTTCAAGGCAATGACGTCTAACTTTGACCGATTATATGTTTATATAGAGAAAATATTAATAATATTAAAATGATATGAAAATGTTCTTTGTTAAAAATACTACAATAAAAGTATAGAGTTATTAAATTTTGCATAAATATATTAGTTTAAATAATTGGTCAAAGTTTACCACCTTTTACTGAAAAAGTCAAAGATGGCTAAGTAAATTGGGACGGAGGTAGTATATTTTTATACATCAACTTGTAGATTTTAGAGGAATTTACACTAAATACAATTAAAATATTATAATATTCGCTAAATAGCATTTCAAATTTTATTTTCCTTACACATGACTTACATTGTTACTCTTAATATAATTGATTACTACGGAGTATAAGTAATTGTTTCTCTAATTCCCCAACATAACCAAGGCGCGCAGTAGCAACTACGGTGAAAGGCTGAGGATTTTTGACGATCGGCAAACGGTCCGGCAATGGACCGGTGGTCCGGTGGCTGTACTCCAACCGCTATGATTTTTTTAAAAATTAATTGAGTCCTTTAATATGAAGTGATTTTTTTGCTCTTTGTTGAACCTTTAAAATCTTGCTGGCAATATGTTCTCGGAGGCTGGCGTGAAAGGGTTGGTTCCGGAGGTTTGACAGATGCTATGAAGGTTCTCCTAGTGTCTTCTATTATTGGAGTATTCCGATGATATCATAGTTACTCTTAATGGGTGAATCCAAATCAGGACTTATTCGTTCAACTATATCATTGTGTTTATTTGTGACTTAATTGATAGAGTAACTTATTCGGTCAGACCATATCTGACTTTATGATTCAGCCCAATTTTAATACTCCTCTCGCTTCAGACATCTCCCCATACACGACCATCTCGGTATTTCTTCGCTTCATCTCAAATACCCTCCCACAACTAGGAATTTTCTCCAAAAAAAATTAAAAATTCCCTAGCTCTCTTGCGCAAGGTGACTTCTTCCTTCAATGGATTGTGGATTTAACTTCAGATTTTAGGTGTTTTTTAGTCGAAATCATCTCCTAAGTTCACTTCAGACCTTGGATTTGAGTTTGGAGTGAGTTCTTACGGCTAAAAAATCCAAGAAACGAGTTGATTTCTCCTCCGTGGAACTGTTCACTGACGAACTATTTTTTTATTTCTGGTGTTGATTGGCTATGGCTATAAGAAATACGAAAATACAGCGAAGCTCGTCTTCCCTAGGAGAACAACATACTGAAATTTCAGAATTTTTCGAGTTGTTTTGCAATCTGTCGCAATTGTTCATGGACGGATTGTATTTTTAATTCTGGTGTTGATTGGCTGGGGCTATGAAAAATCTAAAGATACAAAGATGATCGTCTTCCCTAGACGAACAACATACTAAATTTTCAGATTTTTTGGAGCTCTTTTACTTTGAAGCGCTACTGTTCATTCTTGGAGTTTTATTGGAGCTGTTTTGCGCAAACCCGACCTAGTGGGAACCTGACCTGACCGGATTTCTGGAGCAGAGACATTCTGCCTTGTCTAGATATGCCGAAGAAAGAAACAAGGGGTGGTTGGCTCCCAAACCACCAAGCCTAATGCTAATCGGGCATCGAAAAATGAGCATTGTGTGTTGAGTGTCATGCCTCTCTTTTCCTATTCGGATACCTTCGGGGAAGACTTTTAAATTATACGTAGTATTTGAGAACAAGCAATGTAAACATATAATATACATTCAGCACGTGTTCTAGACAGAATGATTATTTGGTCATTTAACATAATTTCGACTTTTCATTCAGCACACATAGTAAACAACTTGTTATCTCAGTGTCACTTAATCCAGACAGACGTCTTCATTCAGACAGACGTCTTAATCCATGCATGATTTAATGGGAAAAAAGTAAGCAGCCCCTTAGCGGGATCACTGAGAATCTAGGAGACTAGGTCGCTATGGCCCTGTTTGGTTGAAGAGTTTCGGATGGGAGGGGAGGAAAGTGAGGGGGTTTATGTGTGTTTGGTTGAAGAAAATAAGGAGAAGGGGAGGAAAGTGGAAGGCTTTCAAAATCTAAAATCCCCAAATCGGGATATTTCGGAGGAAACGTGTTGATAAGTGATAACCACAAACTATCCATCTACTACGTGAATGAACAAAACGTTATAATATAAAAAGGTAAAAAACAAAATGTTTTGAAAAATTTAAAAAAAGTAAAAATTTAAAAATTTTAAGATTAAAAAATTTAAAAATTTAAAATTTAAAAATTAAAAAATTAAAAAATTAAAAAAATTAAAAATAAAAATAAATTAAAAAATAAAATAAAATATTAAAAATTCCAAACTGAAAAATGAAAAATTATAAAATTAAAAAAGTAAAAAATCAAATAAAATAAAATTATGACTCATGATCATAGGAGTAATATTCACAATAGTTAGACATGTATCTATTTTTTTAAGTAAGCTATCAAATAAAAGTAAATTGTGAAAATATTTTCATTAAACCTTTCCTCCTATTTCCTCCAACCAAACACAAACTTTTATCAAAATTCTTCCTTCCCCTTCTCTTCCCTTCCCTCCTTGACTCTCTCTTTCCCTCCCCTCCTTTGAATCAAACAAGACCTAAGCGGGTGGTTATTGGCTGTCAAAGGATGAATTGCAAGCTTGAAGTTCAAGGAGTTTGGCTAGTTCCATATAGGGATGGACTCGGGTCCGGGCCGGGTCCGGGTCGGGCCTAGGCCCGGGCGGGCAGGCGGTTCAAGAATAGTGGACCCGGGACCGGCCCGGGTAGCCACCAGGTCCGGTCCAGGTCCGGGCCGGGCCTCCGGTTTGGATTTTTTTTTTTTTTTTTGCTTTCCTAAGCCCTCCCCCCCCCCCTCACCCCCACCCTCCCAAACCCCCCCAAACCCATCCTACCCATCAAGCCCAACCCGGGTGGAACCCCAAAAATGAAACAAAATAAAAAAAAAATCAATTTGGCCCGAGCCCGGGCCCGACCCGGCCGGGCCGGTTCACCAAAATTGAGACCCGAGCCCGGACCCGCCCTACCCCCCGGGCCTAGGCCCGACCCGGACCCGGACCCGAGAACCGGGCCGGTCCCGAGCCCGCACAGTAGCGGGCCGGGCCGGTCCACGGGCCGGGTGGCCCGACCCGAGTCCAACCATAGTTCCATATTTTACTTAATTTTTAATTTTTATCGTTTATCATGTTTTTCACGTTTGACTTTTATTTCAGAACTTGGGTTGTGGTTATTGAAGAATTCAATTGCAACAACCATGAAGCTTCCTCCATGTGCAAGCAACAACCATGAAGCCTCATCCATGTGCAAGAATGACAAAGGGAGCTTCCTCAAAGTTTCCTCATGTTTAATCCCACCTTCCTCCAACCTTCATAGTATCTAGTTTTGGTGCTATAAATAGAGAGCTTGGAGAGGAGCCTGGTATTTTTGAAGACAGCTGACGTCATCGCTGACGTCATCAGCCAGTCAGAGCTGTGTCAGCGACACATCAGCGCCACGAGTGCACATCCGCCACAGCATCAGCTCACTGCCATCTTCCACCAGCGCCCAGTCAGCTGCCACGTCAAAGCCTAGTTAGCGCCACGTCATCTGCCACATCATCTGCCATGTCACCGGTCAGTTTTTAAATTTTGAAAAATTGCAGTTAGGTCCCTCAATTTTTGGAAAATTATAATTTCCACCTATAATTTTTCGAAAATTGTATTTTGACCCTGGAAGTGTCTACCCACCATTTTTGGCCGTTCCGGACGCAACGGTGCTGCCCGTTTTTCAAATTTCTGCTCCGATTTTTCTCAAACAGAATATTAAAATTATTTAGAAGGTGAAAATGACCTTTGACGAGTCAACTTCATCTTCCGGAGCTATGATTATGCTCACGGCTACCAACTACATGCTATGGAAACCTCGGATGGAAGATTTTCTTAGCTGTAAAGACCTTTTTGATCCAATAGAGATGAAAGGTATTAATGCTGACCCACCCAAATCAATAGAGTGGAAGAAAATAAATAGAAAAACTATTGGTCAAATCCATCAATGGATTGATCATAGTGTCTTCCACCACGTTGCACAAGAAACCGACGCTTATGCCCTTTGGAAGAAGCTAGAAGATATGTACCAGGCCAAGACCGCCAGGAATAAGGCCTTACTGATGAGGCGCCTTGTCAATATGAAGCTCAAAAGTGGAACTTCTGTTGCCGAACATACTAGTCAATTTCAGAGTCTGGTAAATCAACTATCTTGTGTAGAAATGCCACTTGGAGATGAAATGCAATCTCTACTACTTCTTAGTTCCCTTCCTGATAGTTGGGAGACACTAGTTGTTACTCTCAGCAACTCAGCCCCAGATGGCAAACTTACCATGTCTGTGGTCAAGGATGCATTGTTCAATGAGGAGGCAAGGAGGAAAGACATGAGCACAGATCAGACTCATGCTCTTGTGACGGAGAATCGAGGAAGATCACAAGGAAAGCAACAAAGAAAAAGTAGAGGAAAGTGGCAAAGCAGAGGCAAACGTCGGGGGAGATCATCAGATGGCCGGAAACCTTCTTATACCTGCCACCATTGCGGTATAGAGGGTCACATGAAGAAGAATTGCTACAAATTGCTAGAGGAGCGAGGCAAGAGCAATTCTCAAGCAAAGAACAAGGGTGGTGAAGCGCTCATCACAATCTCTGGTGATGTGGAGTATTGTACTAGCAATGATGAAACATGCATGCACGTCTCAAGAGAGGACACTGAATGGGTGGTAGATACTGCAGCATCCTACCATGTTACTCCCCACAGG